CCTCCAGGGTCCCTAGTGTTGGCCACTGTCGGCAGACAGGCTACTGGGCTAGATGGACCTTTGGTCTGACCCAGTACGGCCATTCTATGCTCAGGACTCAGGTTCGGGGGTCTCACTGGACCACCTTGATTTTCATGCCAACCTGCTCCTGGGTTGCCAGGCTGGCAGCTATCCTTCCCTAGACAGCCACTTTCCTGTGCCTAGTGCAGCGGGGCGGGGAGCCGTGCCAGGTGCATGATCTGCTGGCTGGGTGCTGGCAGGCTTGCACCTGGCACTGGCACCGTAGCCACCCTGTGCCTCTTTAAGGGCTCCGGGGCCGAGAGGGGGGCAGAAGAGTTTCCCTGGTGGTGCCCAGAGTGACCACCAGGGAAAGCTGGGGAGGGCTAGCCTCCCACTAGTTCGAATTAAGCGCACTGCTAGTTCGAATTAAGTTCGAACTAGTGGTTTGCATGTGTAGCGCTTATCAAAGTTAATTCGAACTAACATCTGTTAGTTTGAATTAACTTTGTAATGTAGACATACCCTAAGTTCAATGCAATGTATTAATTCAACAATACATGGCCAGCTAAACATCATTCTCTGGTAACACACAAGTGCACACAGAGTGACATGACTGAAATCATTCATTAATCTAGAGTAATGTTAGGAATAAAATGTCTGTTTGTTCCCATTAGATCATACCGACCTGATTCAGCAGGGTGTAGTAGATTTCTAGTGTAATGAAATCCTACCATGAACTAAGGCAGTTACACTTTTGTGGAAAAATATAGTATAGACAGCACACTAGAGACTTCAGTTCTGAATTCCTGTAACGTGACATGACACCACATATAAAGCTCTACTTGTAATGCATTAACTATTCATTATAGATAGCGCCCTACCAACTTCACAGTCCTTTTTGGTCAAAGTCACTGGGTTTTTAAAATGGTAAAATTTCATGGTGGTATAATTGTGAAAGTCTTGTCCCATAAAGAAGTTGTGCAGGGATCACAAGGTTATCATATGGGGGTTGCTACCTTTTCTTCTGTGCAGCCGCTAGCAGCACCACTGCCATTAGATCTGTGGAGCTGGAGAGCAGCAGTTGCTGGCCAGGAATCAAGTTCTCAAGGCAGAGCTACAAGAGCAGTAATGCAGAACTAAAGATGTCATGGTGTGGTGTTGACACCCTTATTTCTGTGTTGCTATCTGAAAAGGTAGGCCCTTAGTCAGCAGGTGCTGCTATCTGGCCACCCTGCTCTGAAAGCAGCAGTACAGAAATAAGGGCGACATGGGTATGGTCCTGCTACCCTTACATCTACATTGCTGCTAGAGGGGTGCTGCCTTCCGAGAAAGGAACCTGGTCCATATTACGAACATGGCTTTCCAGTTGGCCAGGTCTGAAGGCCATGCAGACGTATGGGTAGCAATGCTAAGACACTCCTAAAATAACATTGCGACCCGCCCCCTGCAATTTCCTCTTGGGTCAGGACCTCCAATTTGAGAAACGCTGATCTTCCCTATGACATTTCACTCCACCCCTTTCCTTAAGCCCCCCACTTGTCATTCTCATTACACTTCCTCCTTTTCCTCCTTCCCCATACCCTCTCCTCCTGCCCTGCCTCCCCCTGCAGTGCCTTCTGCATGCTGCTGAAGAGCTGTGCTGAAGGCACTGGGAAGGAGGAAAAGGAGCTGATGAGCTGGGCCAGTGGCCCAAGACATGACTCACAGACCCTCTGAAGCCACACATGACTCATGGGCCCTCTGGAGCATCCTCACAGCCCCAGTCTGAGAACCGCTGCTATATGTGCACATGGTGTATTCATTTTATTTTTTTTTCCAAACAGAAGAAAAAACATGTTTGCAGCCACCATCTATAGAAAATGGTGAGATTCTTAGCTCAGAAAATCAAAACTTAACTCAGGAGCCATCAGGACCAGGGAGTTATCGAAATGGCACTGTGTTAACATACACTTGTAACACTGGCTTCGAATTACAAGGACCACCGAACATAATCTGTGAGACTGGAAAATGGACCACAGCTCCTGCATGTTTTGGTAATTACACTGTGTAAAATATTCTCAAAGTCACTTATTTAGTGCCAATGGAAATAGGTTACAACTGGAGGCTGAATTATAGAACGATTCTGTATAGAAAGATTCTGCGCAATCTCAGTTTTCTAACTGAGTATCTTTAAAAATTTTCTAATTGTGTGAGACTGCAGGGGTTTTGCTTGTTTGATGCAGGGGGCTGGTTAGTTGATTTTTTTTATTCTTTGTTTTTTGAGTAATTTTCATTTTTTATAAAGCTCCCTATTAGTTCTCAGGCAGTCTAAATCAAGTTCCTGGCTCTAACACAAACTTTCATTGCTGTGGCCAAATCTTTTTAACTCTGTGCCTCAGCTTCCAAACTGTCAAAAGTGGATAACGGTGTTCCTTTCTGGGCAGTGGGGTTGTGAAAATAAATCCATTAGTGACTGAGAGGCACATCGATACTATGGTAATGGGGGTCGTTACCTACAGAAATAA